AAGTTTTTTTCTTTGTTAGTCATCATTAAGGGGGGAAAAAATGACTCATATTCCAAGTTCCTGTGTTTTTCATTTATAACTTTCGCATATTATACCAAAATATACTATGATAAAATATCATAGTCTGTGTAATAAACACAGCCTCCATCAGATAAGCAGAATAAACTGTGATTTTCTGTGTTTATAATCCAGGACAAATGAGAGGTCCGTTGAGTTATCCCCCATGCCCTTAGCCGGTGGGGCATGACCGGTTCCTTTCTGTATGTGGGACTGATAACTAAGCACGATGTGCCCAAAGCCAAGAGTGAAATCACTTTAGAATTTATAGCCTCATGGTTTGGAAAGGCCAACCTAGCCCTGCTCCTGAAATGGCACAGGTAATCTCCCTGACTTTGCTTTGCCTCCTATTTCAGAAGGGTTGTACCGTCAGTGATTGCTCTCGTATTCTTGCCAGAACACCAAGTTGCAAGGACTCTTGCCTGAAGCCTCCTGCTCAGGCTCCCAAATTATCAGACGATTCCACCCAGAGACCTCACATGAGCCATCCTACGTAGGTCATGTGCTCAAATCAAATCTCAAATGTCCTTGTTCTGTACAAGTTATGATGCCCTGTCTTACTCTCAGGAGGAGTGTTTCAATATATTTCTTGGAAAGTTAAAAAAATCCTCCATAAATATTACCTTCACCTTTTACAATAACAATAAACTCCTTTCAAAATAGTAAAGAAAAAGCCAAGTAAAGGCACTTCGTCTATTCAAATTAAAACTCCAAATATTTTCTGAACATATATCATATACCAAAGCATAAGAAAATATATCCTGTAAAGAGGAGAGAAAAATGAAAATCTATTATTGCATTAAATTTCTTTCAGGCAAAATTTTCTTGAAATATTGCTCAAGTTTGGATCCAACTTTTAAATCGAAGATGATAAAACCATCAGCTGTGTCATCTGCAAACAAATGCTGTTTTTTTTCCAGAAAAATATTTGATAAAGTTCAATACCATTTCATGATTAAAAAATAAAAACAAACCCTCTTCATAACCAGGAATAAAAGAGAATTTCCTTAATATGATCAAACATATGTATAAAAAAAACTAAAAGTATTCCCATAAAAGAAAAAAACAGGCCAGCAGGCCAGGTGCGGTGGCTCCCACCTGTAATCTCACCACTTTGGGAGGCTGAAGTGGGAGGATCGCTCAAGGCTAGAAGTTTGAGACCAGTCTGGGCAACATAGTGAGCCTCTGTCTCTATAAAAAATAAAAAATTAGCTGAGCATGGTGGTGCCTGCCAGTAGTCCCAGCTATTACGGAGGCTGAGCTGGGAGGATCACTCGAGCCCAGGAGTTTGAGGCTGCAGTGAGCTATGATCAGGCCGCTGCACTCCAGTCTGGGTGACAAAGAGAGACCCTATCTCCAAATAAAAAATAAAAAAAAGAAAGAAAAAAAAAAGAAAAAGAAAAAACGGGACTATCCCATTGTATTGGAGGTCCTACCAATAAGCCAAGTAGTAAGTCAAACGCAAGAAATAAAGGACTAGAAAAGGAAGAAAAGTATTATTATTGCAAATAATGTGATTGTCTATATAGAAAATCCAAAAAAATCTACATACATATTGTTAGAAATAACAGGAAAGTTTAGCCAAGTGACTAACTATAATCCAATATAACAAATCAACTGTATCTGTATACTCCAGCAATAAACAAAACCATTTAAAAAGCAACAACAAAGCAAAGTACCTAGAAATAAATCGGAAAAAGATGCACAAATTATTTCTGGAGAAACTTTACAAAACTTTATAGAAGGATATTAAAGGAGTTTTAACTAAGGGGATGAATGCAGAGCCATTGGCTTGGATGAGAAGAGCCAGCACACACAGGCTTGCTGTGTGGCAGTCACTGTTCTAGGCACTTATGTACATTAACTCAATTTTGTTAAAATGTCAAGCTGTCTCTACATTGAACTATAGGTTTAATGAAATTCCAATCAATACCTTTTGGAATTCAGATTCTAACATTTATATCAAAGAATGAAGGACCAACAATAGCCAAGACATTGCTGATGTAGAGAAAGAAGGTGGAGGAAGATGTCCTCCAGGTTGTCAGGGGTTATTACACAGCTACTGCAAGAAAGGACAGTGTGGTATTGGCACAGGATGGACAAACGGACAGTGGAACAGGAGAGAGAGCATGAAGCAGACCCAGGGCTGTGTGGAAGCTTGGCGGACGCAGAGTGGGGTTGCAGATCCACGGGGAAAACACGAAGCGTTAAACAAGTAGTGCTGGGGCCGGTGTCTATCCACACGCAAAACACGGACTCAGACCTTGACCTTCCAACGTGCACACAAACCAATCCCATAGGCTAGACTTAAATATGAAAGATAAAACTGAAAACTTTTGCAATAAAATATGAGCAAATATCTTTATGATATTGGGGCAGAAAAAGATTTCTTTAACCAGCCCCCCCAAAAATGTTAACCATATGAGAAAAGAGTTCTAAATGTAACCAAATTAAATGAAGAACTTTTTTGCTTACTACCAGAAAGACAGACACCATTAAAAAGAGAAAATCAATTTACAAACAAAGGAGATATTTACAACACGTAACCGACCAAAGATTATGAGCCAGAATATATAAAGAGCTTCTAAATTTAGCTGTCTAATAAGAGACAACTAAATTTTTTTAAATGGGCAAAAGAAGCACAAGCAAGCATTTTATAAAAAGAGAAACACAAATGATATATAAAGATGTGACAAGATATTCATTAGTAACCAAGGAAATGCAAAATAAGACCACAGTGAGATGCCACGTTACACCCACTAGCCTGGCAAAATTAAGGCAGTCTGAGCATACCAGAGGGCAGCAGGGATGGGGACCAGTGGGACACCTTCCAAGGCATTTAGGACACTTGTACGACTAGCAGGAGCCTCCATCAGGACACCCACTTTGACAAGCAGTTTGGCACTGATGTAGACTCTTGTGCAGAAATATTTTCTGCCCCTCCCTGTGTAAAGGTTATACTTTTCTCTCCTGTTAATACCTGGGTTGGCTGCATGACTTGCCCTAAAGGTTAGAGGCAAACCAACTAAATGTGAACAGAAGTGACAGATATCTTTGCCATGAGACGGCTAATGTTCCAGGTAGAAGCTGCCCCTTCACTTAAATCCCAGAGTGAATCAACAGGAGGCAGAGCCACAGCCAGCCTGCCACCGGCATGTCACGACAGTGAGAAATGCATCTTTGTTGTTTTGTTACAGTCCATTAAGAGTTGGGGAATCATTTATTATTTCTGCATCACTTAGCGTGTCCTAACTGATATTGGCACCAGCTTGTAAAGTTGAGCATCCACATGCCCTAAGATCCAGCAATTCTACTTCTAGAAACTTTCCCCAGAGACACTCTTGCTCGGGAAATATATATATTAAAAAAATTCATAGCAACATTGTTCATGATTGCAGAACACCTAAAAACAACCTCGATATCCCTTGGTAGAAAACAGATTGATAAATAATGGTATATTTGCAAAATTAGGCAGCAGTCAAAATAGAGGCACTCAGGCTACACACAACATAATGACACAACATAAATGAGTCTTATAAATATAATTTTGAGTGATTCAAGCGAGTCACAGAAGTCTCACGTACAGCACAATACCATTTTCATAAAGCTCAGAAACAATCCAAACTAAATAACATAGTTTTAGGGTACATAATTATATGATAAATGACTTTTTTAAATCAAGGGAAAGAGAGACCCAAAATTCTTGCGAGACATTGCCTGGGGATGGACAGGAGGTGAGGGAGGGAAGCAGTACAGGAATGCTCTGACCTTGACTCTATAAAGGGTCAGATAGTAAATATTTTAGGCTTTGTGGGCTAGACAGTCTCTGCCACAACTACTCAGCTCTTGTTGTCGTGCAAAGGCAGCCTCGGACAGTATATAAATGCGTGTGGCTGTGTTCCCGTACATCTTTACCTATGGACTCTGACATTTGACTTTCATATATTAACAATTTTATGTGCCATGAGATATTATTCTTCTTTTGATTTTTAAAAACCACTTAAAAATGCAAAAGCCATTCTTAGCTCATAAGCCATACGAAGGCAGCCATGCCCAGTGGCTCGCTCGCACCTGGGGTCCCAGCTGCAGGAGGCGAAGGCAGGAGGGTCGCTTGAGCCCAGGAGGTCCGGGCTGCAGTGCACTAGGATCGTGCCTGTGAATAGCCAGTGCACAGCAGCCTGGGCGCCAGAGCGAGACCGCGTCTCTTAAAAAAAAAAGGCAAATGGCACCAGATTTGGCCAGGGGGAGTTTGGTGGCCCCCGCTCTAGCGCTCTGCTTGGGCTATGAGCTCAGGTGTTCATTTTCTCGTTGTGCGTCTTACCTTCATACATGTTTCCTGTATTAGTTTGTGTACCAAATATTATGTAGAAAGTTAAGAATTAAAAAAAGGTAAACTGGCTCTCAGGGAGCAGGACAAAGGCAGGAGGTGTGAGGACGGAAGGGACCACGGGACATACAAAGATGCTTAAACTCTTTCTGAAACTCTTCCTCAAGGTTTGAGATATTTTTGCTCTTGACACCAAATTCAGGCCCTCTGATCCCTGTCCCCTGACAGAGGAGGATGTCGTCGTGTTATATGATAGAACTGATGGGAAATTTGGTTGGGGACATTTACTGCATCTTATGGCTTGTTGCCATATGTCCTATTAGCACAAAAAAAAAACCCTGCATTGATTTTGATTATAATTGTAGCTGGACTCTCGGCCTACGTGACTGAATTTAAACTCTGTCTGGATTGCAGAAAACTAGCCCCGGCCTGTGGCCTGTGAAATGGCATCTAGAAAATACCCTTTCACCACTGCTCTGTCCCCATATGCTTGTGCTGTGAAAAGCGGCACGTTTTTAAAGGCCAATTCACGAGTATTCAGGAAAAACTCGTGGGGGAAATCCTGGGGATTAGGGAGGATCGTGGTTTCTGGGGTCGCTGGCCTTCCTCCTCCTCCTCCTCCTCCTCCGCTTCTTTCCCGGAGTCCAGCGGCGCTTTGCGTCTCCTCACAGTTCACCCCCTCCCTCCTCTTCTTCCGGAAAGCGGCAGCTGCAGGCGTCTTCCTCTTGGGCAGTTTGAACTGGTTTCATAAATGCTAAAAAATAATTTAAAAGATTCTTATGTTGTCTGTTTTAATCATTTAACACTTATTTTCCATGAATAAGTTCGCCGTTGCAGAACATCTCTAAGCAGCAGACATTCTCAACTTTAACAGACGCATCCACAGAGAGGTAACAGTAAGTATGAGTTATTCTAGGGGTTATTTATGATTTTTTCCCTTTTACCAAATATTTTTATCGGTCTTTAAAAATGATTTGGTTTATTTTCTACAATGGCTAAAAAATGTCTTGAGGATGCATCACTGTAGCATGAACTGTCAGCTTCATCCCAAACACAACTGCAGTTTCGGTTCGGCAGCACACACGTGAGTCCCGAGGGTTACCTAGACTAGAGATTAGACAGTTTCTTTTGAATGAGATCCTATGGCACCAAGGTTTTGAAGACATTCCCACTCCTTCTATTTATTAGTAAGCAAAGTACTGATTTGCACATCAGTGTCCAGGTTTTCTCTTATATGTTAGTGCAAACTATTCGTGTTACTGCTGAGCAGTTTTCAATCTCAGCATATATTTCTTTACAGTCTGACAAAGCCACCAGTGCCGTTCCAAATTCACATGCTTGTTACTGTAAAAAATGACCAAAACCAACAACCACACTATCTGCCAGAACTTACGAAAAACTGGCAAGAATTTCAGAAATACCAATGGGATTTTAAGACTAATTTAAAAATGGACAGGGGGAGAAGAGGAAAGTTTGTTCCAGAAGGAGCTATCTGAGAAAACGTAAGGGTTTCTGTACAAGGACAGGGAAGGATCATGACTTGTTGAAACACTGGCTGTTTATTTTTTCCAGGTCCGAGGAAAGGACAAGGTGCTCATAAATGCAGCTAAACAAGCGCTGGCCTCGAGATAGGCAATAGTGAAACACGGGCAGGTCATCTGACGCCAGACCCCTGTTCCCCACGCTGTAACTCCAGCTTTGACTGGACAAGAGGCTGATTCCAGTAACTTTCTGCAGGTGAGAGACCACCAGCTGCAGACGGCGGTGCACTTGAGGGCCTTTGTGTCCCTGCCTCACCCTTTGGGGCATAAGGCCCAGTCGTGATACATTTAAACCTTAAGCATCCACTCCAAACTGAATATGGGCCATATGTGACATCTTCAGTATGCATGCATTAGGGTCCCTTTCATGAATATTCATAGCTCCCCTTGTAACCTATTGAATATGTATACTTGGCCTACCTGGTCAGCGTAAATTTCTGCCTTTTGCAGGCTGTCAGGGTGGCCAGCCTGCAGGTTGTCACCCTTTATAAGAAATAAAGCTCTCCTTTTCTACCAAAAAAAAAAAAGGAGATCTGCTTCTGGAAAGATAGAAATGTCATACTTTTCCATATTCCCCCTGAGTGCCACTGAAAACACTGGACCTTGTACCTAAAACAAACATAAGGACACTCTGCAGGTGGAGGGAGGCAGGCTGGCTACGGATCTCGGGACCCAGGGAACAACACGGTCATGAGTTCCCTGGGTTTTCTTCCTGCCTCATCTGCCCCAGACTGGGAAAGTGAGAAGCCAGCAGCCTAGAAATGCCAATGAGTATGGACCCAAAAAAGCCCCAAGAATAAATAGCCTGTCCCTCTAGCTATAAGACCAGGAAAGGAGCAGCATAGCAAGACTGAAAACTTTTAGACAATAGTCACTCAACTCTAACAAAACACCACAGAAAAAACTGTGGCCCCACCTCCCAGCCCACCAGGAAAGGCCAGACAGAGAGGCCCAGCGTCTACCCTGCCAGGCTGTATTAAGGCGCACCTCCCCCTCCCCATGGAGTAAAGTCAGCGGAGCCCTGCAGGGCTCTTCCTCACTTCCACCGCTTCGTGGTCAGTAGAGCCACATGGGAATCAGTGACAAAGTGCCCCTCCTCCTCCTGGACATGGGGTGTCAGCAGAGGCCTGGGGGAGCCTGAGCTCCCAGGCATGTCCAGCAATAGCAAGGAGCCCCTCACCCTCAGCAGGTCTAGTGCAGAACCCACACTTCCACCCCTGCCTGGCAGGGACAAGGTGCCATCCTGCTCTCTTCACTAAAGCGGTGTCAGAGGAAGCCTGGGGAGATGCAAGATATAAATCAGATCCAGTGTCTCATCACATGATACCCAAAATGTTTGAGTTGTAATAAAAAGGATCGTTTGCTTCGCTAACAACCAGGAAGATCTCAATTTGGATGAGAAAAGACAGTCAACAGATGCTGGCATCCAGAGGACACGGATGTGGAATTACTGGGTGAGGATTTTAAAGCAGCCAACGTCAAAATGCTTCATCAGGCAATCAGGGGCACATTTGAAACAAATGAAAAAGAAATAGAAAAGAAACAAGTGGCAATTTTAAAACTGAAAATTTACAAGAACGGAAATTTAAAAAATCAATGAATGGGCTCAACAGCAGGATGAAGAGCACAGAGGAAAGAATCATCGCCCGACAGGAACAGCAGAGGGAGACCGGGAAAACTATGAACTGAGCCTCGGGAACATGTGGGCTGTAACAAAAGATATCCTTTTTGTGTCATTTGGAGTCCTAGAAGGAGAGGAGAAAGAGAATAGGGCTGAAAAAAAGTACAGACGCTCCTCAACTAATGATGTGGTTATGTCCCAGTAAACCCATCGTAAGTTGCAAATATCGTAAGTCAAAAATGCATTTAATACACCTAACCTGCCAAACGTGATAGCTTAGCCTAGCCTACCTTAGACATGCTCAGAACACTTACATTAGTCCACAGTCAGGCAAAACCATCTAACACAAAGCCTATTTTATAATAAAGTGTTGAGGCAGGCACGGTGGCTCATGCCTATAATACTAGCACTTTGGGAGACTAAGGCTGGAGGATTGCTTGAGCCCCGGAGTTCAAGACCAGCCTGATCCCATCTCTACAAAAAATATTAATTAGCTGGGCATAGCACCATGTGCCTGTAGTCCCAGGTATTCAGGAGGCTGAGGCAGGAGGATCGCTTGAGCCCAGGAGTTGGAGGTTGCAGTGAGCTATGATGCACTCTCTGATGTACTGCACTCTATCCCAGGTGACAGAGTAAGACCCTGTCACACACACACACACACACACACACACACACACACAAAGTGTTGAATATCTTGTATAATTCATTGAATACTGTGCTGACAGTGAAAAATAGAATGCTTGTATGAGTACTATCATAAAGTCGAAAATTATAAGTTGAACCACTGCATGTTGGGGACTGTCTGTATTTTAAGAAATCATGGCTGAAAATTTCCCAGATCTGAAAAGAGACGTGTGCATACACAATCAAGAATCTGAGTGAACCCCAAACAGCATAAACCCAAAGAAATCCACACCAAGACACAACAGAGTTAAAGTTCTGAAAACAAAAGACAAAGAAAAAATCTTGCAAGCAGCCAGAGAGAAACAACATGTTACTTACAGAGGAAAGCAACTCAAATGATGATGGATTTCTTATCAAAAACCATGCAGGACAGAAGGAACTTGCATAGTATTTTTCAAGCATTGAAACAAAAGAATTATCAATCAATCCTAAATTCTGTATCTAGTAAAGATATCTTTCAGAAATGAAGGGGAAATTAAGACATTCTCAGATGAAAGAAAACTAAAAGAATTTGTTGCCAGCAGATCTACTCCAATAGAATAGCTGAAGGAAATTCCCTAAGCAGAAAAGAAATATAATGGACGTATTTAAAACAGATATATTATAAACATACGTCCGTATTTAAGAGTATATAGGAGGGGTTAAAAACTTGTAAAAGGAGGTAAGATTGCTACATCTCATTCACACTGGTAAAATGCTGACACCAGTAGAGTGTGATAAATTACGTATAGATAATATAACACCTAGATCAAGCACTAAAAGAGCTATATGCAAAGAGATAAAGGCATACCTTATTTTATTGTGCTTCATTTTATGGTGCTTTGCAGATACTGTGTTTTTCTACAAATTGAAGGTTTGTGGCAACCCTGTGTTGAGCAAGGCTATTGGTGCCATTTTTACAACAGCATGTTGTCGTTTCGTGTCTCTGTCACATTTTGGTAATTCTCGCAATATTTCAAACTTTCTCATTATTATTATATCTGATAAAATGATCTGTGGTCAGTGATCTTTGATGTCACTACTGTAATTGTTCTGGGGTCTGCAGTAGTGCACAGTGATGTCCTGGGTCTCACACTCACTCACCACTCACCCAGTGTAACTTCCGGTTCTGAAAGCTCCATTCATGGCATGTGCCCTACACAGATGTACCATTTTTATCTTTAATACTGTATTTTTACTGTATCTTTTGTATGTTTAGATATGTTTAGATACACAAATACTCACCATTTTGTTACAGCTGCCTACAGTATCCAGTGCAGTAACATATTGTATAGATTTGTAGCCTAGGAGGTGATACATTACATCATACAGCCTAGGTGTGTAGTAGGCTATGTTATCTAGGTTTGTGTAAGTGCACTCCATGATATTTGCACAATGACAAAAAGACCTAACGATGCATTTCTCAGAACATATCCCTGTTGTTAAACAATGTGTGACTGTGCTTAACATAGCAAAGATGTCAATTCTCCCCAAACTGATATACAGGTTTAACACAATTGCTGCCAGAATACCAGCTGAGTTTTTGTAGATGTAGATAAGATAATCCTAAAGTTACATGGAAATAGCTAGAACAATTTTGAAAAAGAATAATAGCTTGAGCCCAGGAGTTTGAGGCTGCAGTGAGCTATGATCACGCCACTGCACGCCAGCCTGGGTGACAGAGCGAGACTCTGTCGAGGAAGAAGGAAGAAGAAGAAGAAAAAGAAGAAGAAGAAAAGTGATTACTCTACTACTCTCTACCGAACTCCGAGATCTATTTTATAACTACAGTAATCGAGACCGTGTGGTATGGCAGAAGAATAAACACAGAGCTCAATGGAACAGAAGAGAGAAACCAGAAACCCCCACAAGTGCAGCGGCTGATTTTTGACAAAGGTACCGTGAAGGAAGGATAGTGCTTTTGACAGGTGATGCTGGAGCAATTGAACATCTACAGGCAACAAAACAAAACAAAACCCAAAAAACTAGACCTAAGCCTCTCACACCTTATACAAAATTTAACTGAAAATGAATCATAGATTTAAATAAAACTTTTAGAAGACAACACAGGAAAAACCCTAAATCTTTGGGACCCAGCACTTGGCGAAGAGTTCTTAGACATCACTCCATAAATGAAAAGAATCAATACATTGGACTTCATCACAATTAAAAACTTTTTCTCCGTGGAAGACCCCGTGAAGAAGATGGCAAGGCAAGCTGCAGAGTGGGGGAAAATATTTACGAACCATGTATCTGACAAGGGACTCGTATCTAGGAAACACGAAGAGCTCTCGGATCTCAAACGGTAAAACAAACAAATAATACAATTAAAAATAGGCAAACAATATGAAGAAACACGTCTTTAAAGAAGATATAAAGATGGAAAATAAGCACATGAAAATGTGTTCAGCCATTAGGGAGATGCAATTTAAGGCCACAGTGAGATAGCACCACACACCTTTTAGAACAACCTAAATAAAGAATCGTGGCCATACGAAACCCTGGCAAGGATGCAAAGAAACTGGTCTCTCATCAACTGCTGATGAGAATGTAAAATGGTACAGTTCCTCTGGAACGTAGTTTGGCAGTTTCTTAAAAAACTAAACAAGTATTCAGCATAGAACCCAGCGATGGCACTCCTGGGCATTTACTTTAATATATGAAAACTTATGTCCACACAAACCTGTACATGATTATCCATAGCAGTTTTATATGGAAAAATCAAAATTGGAAACAAGCAAAATGTCTCTCAATAGGTGCATGGTAAAACAAACAGCGGCACAATCGGCCATGGAATACCACGCAGCGAGACAAAAGAATGAACGACTGAAATGCACAACAACTTAGTTGGATGTCAAGGGCATTATGCCAGTGACAAAAGCCAATCTTAAAAGGCCACACATGTGAAAACTGTCAGAAGCAAAACAGTCACTGTGTCAAAACCCTGACGAATGAATGCCATGGAGGATATTCTCATGCACGTCTGCCTGGTAACAAGAACTATCGCAACTCCATAACCTTACACAAAAAAACTACCTCTGCAAGGACATGAGGAAATCTGCCCAGCAACCTCCTGTCCAACCTTGGATTGACATCATCCTTGTTATTCATCTTTGTAGCCACTGATAATTGTTTCCAAATAACTTACGTAGCCCTCCTCATTTTTCCTTTAAAACCCCTGCCTTCCTTTACCTCCCTGAATACGCCCAACATATTCCCATTGCAACGCTGCTCCTGAATACGTGTCATTTTTTAAGAGAGTCTCTGTCTTTTATTTAGGTTTGACACATATGGGGTATGACTCTGTATATACATATAAACACTCCAGAAATGACAGAAGTATAGACATGGAAAACAGATTAGTGTTGCCAGGGGTTGGGGATGGTGCGGAGAGCCAGTGGATGTGCCTAGAAAACAGTACATGAGGGAGACCTTGTGGGGATGGATAGTTCTGTATTTCGATTGTGCTGGTGGTTCCACAAATCTGCACATGTGATAAAATAACAACTATACCCGCACAATGTGCCAATGTCCTGGTTTTGATATTGTCCTATAAGATGTAACCTCATGAGTGGCACTTTTCTGTAGTGTCTTTGCAACTTCCTGTGAATCTATAATTATTTCAAAATAAAAAGTTCTTTGAATGACATAAAAAATTTTTAAAAACTGATTACAGTTCCGCTGCGACTCACTAATTACTCATAAATACTTTCGAAAAGTATTTTATAAAGAACTGTGTTGTAGTTTGGAGTGGGGATGGGCAAGAGAGTTCTTTAAATCAGGATTAGGTGAGAGCTTAGAGGTTTAAATTAGAGGTGTAAACCTCAAAAAGAAAATGAAAGAGCAAACCACAGAATAGGAAAAGATATTTGCAGCACATGAGCAACAGACTAAAAAGTTCCTATCAGTTAGTAAGAAAAGAGCAGACAGCCTTAAGAGAAAATGCTCAAAAGACTTGATCAGACACTTCACGAAAGAGGAAATTCAAATGGCCATGACATGAAGAGGTGTCTAACTCATTAGTAATCAGGGAAATGCAAATTAAAACCACAGTGAGATACTACTCTCCAGCCACCAGATACATATAACAGTCTGATGATACCAAGTGTTGGAAGGCACATGGAGCAAAAGGAAATCTCACATATCACTGGGGAAGTGTCCCTGGAAAACAGACTGGTACATCTATTAATACTAAGGACCAAGATACACATTCCTTATATCTCTGCAATTTTAGTCCTAGGATAAAAACCAAAAATGAAACAGAAACACATGCTTGTGTGTACCGAAATCCATGGAGAAAGATATTCTGTCATGGTCTGTAACAGCGGCAAACTGGAAACAACCCCAGTGTCCATCAATATTAGAATGGATAATCATGATATTGTCATTAGTAGGAGAATCTGCAACAATGGAAATCAGCCAAAGGTGAACTCAACACAGGGATGAATCTTAAAGATGCTCTGTTGAGTGAAAGAAGAGGCAGAGTGCACAGAGTAGGGGTCCACTTGTGTGACGTTCGCAAACAGCCAAATAAAACTGGGTCATTAGGTAGCAAAACCATAAAAAGCAAGCAAGTGAACACTGTAAAAATCTAGATGTGGTTTAGCAGTCGCAGGGAGGGAGGGTTGTGATCTAAAAGCGGTACGTTAAGGGTTTCCGGGGAGTAGATTATGGTCTATTTCTTGACCCGGGTAGGGTTCATTTGGGTGTTCATTTACAATTTGCTAAACTTTACATTTATGCATTTTTCTGTATATTTCACAAGGTAAAAAAGTTTTATAGTGTATTAAAAAAGAATCTTTAAATAAATTAATGCCGTACATCTTTAGATAAAACTTTACTAATGCTTCTCCCCCATATATCTCTTAACAACCTCCGAGTAGACACAGTCTGGTCTTACTATGGTGTTTTGGGTTAAAATTCTGCTCTCGAAAAGCTCCTCCTATATATGAATCCCTCCTATGAAGTCTTATTAAGCCTGTTATAGCTCGTTCCATCCCCACAAAGACAAAAAACAGGCTGCTCTACGTCTACACGTATCAGTGGCTTTTGCTGACTCTGTGCCAGGCACTTGCCGGGTACCTTATAGAAATACTTTCTTGTTTAATGAATTCATGAATGAAATTCATTATTGAAATTTTTCATTTAATACAACTGGTATTATAATAATCGATTTCTTTAAACTCACTTCAAATTCCCTCTTTGTTCTCTATGCCTCCCTCAAGCGTGGGTCTACACTCAGGTTAAGGCCACTTTACCAACCAGAGGAACATGCGGGAATGTTTGTTCCAACTCTTCTCTGCCAGTGTCCTGTATGCACACTCTCACACACACTCAGACACACTCACACACACACACACTCACACACACACACACTCACACACACACGCACACACACACACACACACACACACACACACTAATCCAACCAAGGCTGCAGCATACTTGAGTTGTCGTTTTCCTGGAACCCCACGATGTGTTCTGCTTCACGCTAGGCTTTCTCCACCTCAGCACCGTGGACATTTGGGGCTAGATCACGCGTCGTGGAGGTGCTGTCCTGCACACTGTGGGGGTTTAGCAGCATCGCAGGCCTCTACTCACTAGATGTCCCCTCCCCCCCAACACCATGACAGAGTTGTGACCACCACAACTGTCTCTAGACAAATGTCCCCTCGGGGCTGAAACTGCCCCCGCTTGATAACCACTGTGCTGTACTAACCTCGTTTCTACAACTTAAACAAAAAAAAATCTCTTCCATTCTGCTGTAAAAAGCTCTGCCTTGAAAGGGGTCATATCTAATACTGTTAACATGAGTCTTACGTTGTTTGACTATATACAGGAGTTTCTTTCTGCCTCGTTTAACGACAGAGAAACGGAATACGAGGAAGAACACCAGGGACAGCACCGCAGCCGACGTCAGCGCCAGGAAGAAGGTGATGATCTGTGGAGTGTGTCCTTCAAAAAAGAGCAAAAGGAGAAATGCATGCAGACACGTATTTATGCAAACACACTCATGTTTGTATTTACGCGGGTAAACTCCTAAGCATGAGGAGAATCACAGCCGTGGGCATCTCCAACCTGCTAACTTAGTAAACTTAGAAAACTTTTTAAAGAAAGAACCCAAACTTAATTTTCCTAGAGGGCCACAAAAATTAAGTGGGTTAGCCTTTCTGGCATATCGAAAACATGGTACTCTTTACTTGACACTGCTAAAGAGGTAGCATCTGTTTGGGTGAAGTCCCACTCGCACTGCTTGCTAATCTGCATCTCAGACCAGAATAACAAATGCCTGCGCAGAAGCCGACGCATCGCGGAAGGCAGCGCACCAGAAGGAAGGCACGCCAGAGAGGCCTGTGGCAGGCAGAGATACGAGACACCACGATATCGGGGCAGTTTAGATACATTTCGGAAGAACCATATACATTCAGTTTGATTTAACGGCAACAAACCAGCTACCTGGCTCTCTCCCAGGGGCAGGCATGGTCGCGGAGGCTGTACCTGGAGAGAAGTCCGTCAAAATCGGTCCACAGACCACATCACTCTCCTTCGTCCCATTCACGCGTACAGACTTTCCATCCAAAGAACAGCTTGACAGTTCAACGAAAGAGTTCAAAGAATTAATTTAGGTACAGAGGATTCCAGTTTAAAACTTTGACATTTTTCGCCCAGTGAAGTAGCCTAGTGACACAGACATGTGGGGTCTGTTCGCAGGTGACACAAAGATCTGAAAACCTCCCTCTGGACGATGTGGCTGCCTTCAGCTTTCCCTGTCTCCTTTCCGCTCCCCGACAGCTTGGTTGAGGCTGCTTTGCCCGGTTAGGCTCTCACCGCCCAGCTTCTTAACTGCATTTGACCATCCCTGGCACACACGAAGGATAGGATAGGCTTAGGAGTCCCGGCGTTGGCATCAGACAAAGCGGGGTTTGAGCCCAGGGTCTGCTGCTTTCCGGATGACCTTGGGCAAGTTAAGAAATCTCTCTAAGCCTCAGTTTTCCCATCTGCAAAATAAGGACTGTATGTGCCCCCAGGACTGTCATGAAGAGCGAATGAATGAGTGTCAGTGACACATTTTTGCATGCCCGACACGCTCAGTAAATGGCAGCTCTCCCGTTACCATCACCGTCCTCGCTGTTGTGCCTTTCCCTTGCTCCTTTGCCTCCCCGTCCTCCAAGGCCCTGCTGAAACCCGCCCTTCCATGTAGACACACTTGGCTACTCTGAAAGATCTTAAAAAAAAACTTTCCAATCTGTTACAAACCAATGCCACTTGTAAAATATAATACAAATGTACATGTAAAATAATAATAAAAATGATTTTCTGGTAATAAAATCAAATGGAAAAAAGACAAAGGCATATAAAATACAAGGCTCTGGGAGGCTGAGGCAGGAGGATTGCTTGAGGTCAGGAGTTTGAGACCAGCCTGAGCAAGAGCAATATTCTATCTCTGGTAAAAAAAAAAAAAAAAAAAAAAATTGGAAAAAAGTAGCCAGGCATGGTGACACATGCCTGTAGTCCCAGCTACTCCAGAGGTTAAGGCAGGAGGGTTGCTTGAACCCAGGAGTTTGAGATTGCAGTGAGCTATGATGATGCCACTGCACTCTAGCTGGGGTGACAGAGCAAGACCCTGTTTCAAGAAAAAAAAAAAAAGAGGCTCAAATTTTTATTCTTAGAGTCAACAGACCACATTACTCTGCCAATTTGCCTTAACAGTTTCTAAATGCTTCCTCTCCAACCATGCACTGCTGTTGTCGGGGACGTATATCAAACTTCAAGTGGACCAGCACCTGACCACAGTTTGAGGAGCTGTGGTCCCACAAGTCAACAGTCACATTCTCTCAGATACCACTGGTTTTTTACCACTGGTGGTGGCCTTGTGTGCCCAAGCACATGTTACAGTTTGGAGGGTAACGAGCAGTCTTTAGCCGTGTTATGTGTTATTCTCAGGGCTGGCACTGAGCATGGAGATGGGCTGATGAGTGAGGAAAGGTACAAGGCAGCAGAGAGATTAGAAGGAATCCAAGAACAGAAGCCCACCTGTGGGGACAGTGGCAGCGTCCCGCTGGCAAGTCTGAGCTAGCTACTCCGGGCATCATCTCTGGAGAAAATGCTCACTTTGCTTATTGAGTCACTAGGACCTTACATCATTAGTATGTTACATTCTGTCTACACTTGATAGGTGTAAAAAGGTTTTAACGATAGCATTTCTCATCTTTGGAAAAGTTTAACCCAGATTCTTTATTCTGTAAGCAAAAGGAAATTAATGTTTCTTAGCAAAAGGAAATTATACATACTTTGTCCAGGGTCGACAGATGCCATGTTTCTGATCATTAAATGTCCCAAAGCAACAGTCTTTACAACCTTGCATAAAAATGATAGCAATAATGAAAAGGAAGCATTTTCATCATTTCTTAACTTTTCCTGTGATGAATATTACAGTAAAGTCATTAACTTAATACAATCTGCACAAATTGTTCAACAATTCTTGAAACAAAGCCCTAACATTGCTAGTTTTATTCTAATCGTGCATAGAGTACAGTATATATCTAAAATGTGTGAAAAGGCATGGTTCTCGAAATTAAGAAATGTTCTGATTTAATATTACTTCCATTTATGGAAAAATAATGGAAATATTATTTTATTAATTCTAAAATATTAATTAAATATGATATTGATATATACATGACTCATTGGTTCATCACTTGTTACTTTCAGGTTCTATAAATCTATTAATATTGTTTCTTTATATTCAAAGGCTCAAAACCTAAGCTAATGACATATGTCTACATAATAAACACTGCACTCGATGGAAGAAGAGCAAACCTACCCTCTTTTGTTAATTCTTGACCTTGTTTACAGTCCTGTTCACACATGGTACATCCTGCCCCCAGGCAGTGGAACCCTGAGATGCAGTCACACTCTGCATTGCTGATGCTGGAGCACGGCTTCTTGATCCTGAAAACACCTACAAAGTCCCCCCAATATTTTATCATACTTGACCTCCAAATCCAGGAAGCAAATTATGTTCTGCAATAAAAATCATGCTCACTCTAATTATGTTCCTCATGACTTCAGAGTACACAGTTTGCTTTTAAATCTCCATTAAGACATTTTTACATTTCGCTAATTAAAAACATCTCTCTCATCAAATGAATGTTTCCTCTAATATCAAAAAAGCTCGATACACAAATAACTGCTATTGTAGTAAATTATTTTACTGGACCTGCCCATTGACAGAGCAGTCAGCATCTTTGACACTTGAGATTTTCTATAGAGATCAATCAATAAATAGGGAGTAAAAGCTTGTCTTTCCCAAAATCTTCTGGATGAAGAAAACATCTTTTAAATCATACCTTTACATTGTCTGCATATGTTACAGGTCCTTTGTCCACCTATGCTGGAGAAACTATTTGGAGGACAGGGAATGCAAGTCTTGTTTTTCCCACAGAAAGTACCTAAGAAAGGCAGATAATAGCTGTACATGCTTGACAGTGGACAACTGTCTCCCAAAGCATTATGAAGTTTGCAGGAAATTAGAGTATGAAACAATGATTGGTTTTCTAGACGCCACAGTGACAGACATTATTTTGATGGACTTTTAAAATTTTTACGTTTGCAAGATTGTCCTTTGCATAATCACAGAACTGGAAATAACAAAATACAGATATTGTAACAAGTAAATCAACAGAAAGAAAATACTTTCCTTTGTCTCTTAAATAAGGTAGAACGATACTCTTAATTGATCCAGGAGATCATAGACTGGATCCAGGGGGAGATCAACGTCCTTCATTGCTACATTAAAATTTAGCGTAGCGTCTGACTTTCCCCACTCTGCTAAGCTCTCTGCCACCTGCTAACTCCCTGCCGTGCCCCCAGTCTCAGCACAGAGCCTCACATGCAAAACTGACATTTACCGGGGTCCTGCCACGTGCCATGCACTGTTCTAAGCCCATCCTATGATCCTCCCAGCCACCCTAAGAGATGGGTTCTCCTACTATTCCCAGATGATAGTTGAGGCACAAGAGGTTACATGACTTAGCTGTGTCCACACAGCTCATATGTTACATCCAATGAATGTTTGTAAATGAATAAATAAAAGATTCATTCATTGACGAGTTCAACCATGGTTTCAACAGAACAGGTCAAATGCACATATTAATTGCATACTTACCAGCCAGACAGTTACTACAGGAATCCTGCGTTGATCTTGTCCTTTCGAAATTCATGACCAACAGCACAGTTGCCACCATGTTGTAATACCGATTTCCCATGATGAAATCTTGCATAGATATGCTACCAGGAAAGCAGGTTCCGAAAGAGCTTTAATCAGGTTAGCCGGTTCCACAAATGTCACTCTGCAAAGATAATTTCCAAGGAAGGGTGTTTTCTCCTTTCAGAACTGTCTGCATTTCAATCGTTACCTATACAATTCCATAAGACCATAACTTGTGGTTTTTCAGGAACAATTAATGAGGGAATAGTATGGAAAAGTAGCAAATTCATAGGAACTGCTATGACAAGACAAGTTTGACTAATTGCACAGCTTTGTGCGGGTTTGCCAAAGCCTAAGAGTGCATTTTCCAACATGTTTGCCAAAATGCAGAAATGACAACAGCAAGAACTTTTGGGGACTTTCATAGGTACTTCGCATTAGCATCCAGATTTCAATGATGCCAATTGTTTGCTGCCCCTGAAATAGAGTCCTATGAAGAGACCCTGTCGATGTCACAGACAGTTCCGTTGATGGAGATGGTATCTCACGATTCCTACTCCTCGTTTGACTAAACACCTAATGCTAACATGTTGGAAGATCTCTCCTCAATTCATCATCACGTTATCTTAAACATAGACATATACTTGCCCACCTTAAGATCTAAAGCTTGTATGGTAAGAAAACAAAGGAGTAAAAATATCTTTTCAGGTCGGGTTCTTGATCTTTATTTAACAAGCTATTGAAGAGAAGTTATTACAAATTAGAAGGGAAAAATGTCCAGGTAACAAAGGTTCCATCCTCACCCCCCCCGGTACCCCCCCACTGCCCCAAATGGACCAACCTTGAGATCTCAGGCGCCGCACACTTTCCACTCCTTGGTCTCCCAGGGTCTGCGCCCCAGCTAGCAGCAGGTCAAGCCCAGGAGGCCGGTGACTCAGCCGGGGGCGGGGCCTCGTGGGAAATCCCCCGCCACAGCTCTGTGAGTGGCTCCTTTCACATTTGCTGGCCCCAAAATCCCAGTGAGTACCTGTCCCTGCTTGACAGTGGCACTTCAGAACGCTTCTTGGAAGCAGCTCTCTGCTGTTAGAATATTCCTCAGACGACTTTCGGAAAAGGATTTAGTGTGTCCTTAAAATACTGTATCTGAGATTTGAGGGATGAAACTAACTTTTAAGTAAAGATCACCATTTTTGCCATACGTTGTCCCCTAACTTCATAATGATAGTGAAGCCATAGCTATGATATCATGAGCGCAGCCGACGTACTAGAAACCAGAGACACACTTTAGCGATCACGATCCTCGAAAGAAGCCTAGAAGTTGGTCTCACTACTGTCACTATTGGAGCAGCACTATGCAAATGAGCAAACTGGGGCTGTGCGTCTAGTCAGATGCCCCTGCGGGACTGGCCAGCGCCTTGTTACTGTGGGAGAGGCTGGGGAAGGAGGGGGAAATGGAAGGGTGGCTCTACAGGGGAAAGCTGAGAACATGGTTTTAGAAAACCATGATTTTGATTATTTAGAAAAAAAAAAGAAAAAGAGGAAGTGGAGGAGGAAGAAGAGGATGAGGGTGGGAGAAGGAAGAAGAAAAGAACAGGATGAGGAGGGAAGGAGGGAGAGGAGAAGGAAGAATGAGGAGGAGGAGGAGGAAGAAGGAGGAAGAGAAAGAGGAGGAGGAAGGGGAGGAGGAAGGAGAAGGTCACTCTAGAGAGTCGAAGAAGAACCTGTCCAGCGTCGAGTGGCCAGAGACCCCAGGAAAACCACCAGGGAAACGTTGGCAGGAGGAAGGGGTAATATCAAGAGCAGTTTTTACTAAAATAGATGGGTTTTTCCGTTATTATCCAAACAGAAAAGAACAATTTTTCCACAGGAAAAATGGAGGCTTTGTTTCGAATTGGGGGATGAAGGAAGACAAGGAAGCTGGTATTTACTGAACACCTACCGCACGCCAAGCACTTTACGTGTTTACCTGACTCCGATCACGGCGATAGCCTCCTTAGAAACCCCCTGTTGCCCACAAATAAAACCCAGACTCTACAGTCCACTATTCAAGGAACTCCCAGATCTGACCCTGAAGTTGCCTTTTTTGAAAAAATTAAGATATGGTTCACATAACATAAACTTCACCATTTTAAAGCGTACAATTCAGCGGCTTTTAGTACATTCACTACACCATACAACCATCACTACTACCTGGAATTCCAGAACATTTCCATCTGTCATTAGCAGTCATTCCCATTCTCCCGCCCACCAGCCCCTGGCACCCACTAATCTCCCTTCTGTCTCCATTGATTTGCCTATTCTGGACATTTCATAAAAATGCAATTATGCAATATGTGGTCTTCTGTGACTGGCTCTTTCAATTAGCACAATGTTCAAGGTGCATTCATGTCGCAGTGTGTAGCAGTACTTCATTCTTTGTCATGGCCGAATAATATTCCATTGCATGATATACCAAACTCTGTTCATCCATTCATCAGCAGACAGACATTGAGGTGGTTTCCACTTTTTGGCAATTATGAATAATGCTGCTGGGAACATTCAAGTACAGATTTTTGTGTGGACATATGTTTTCAGTTGGGTGTACACCTAGGAGTGAAATTGCTGCATTATGCAGTAATTCTGTGTCACTTTTTGAGGAGCTGCCAGACTGTTTTCCACAGCAGCTGCACCATTTTATTAATACATTCCCACCAGCAGCCAATGAGGGTTTCAATTTTCCCCCATCCTTGCTAACACTTATAATTTTTCCATTAAAAAAAATTATACTCATGCTAGTAGGTGTTGAGTGGTATCTCACTGTGATTTTGATTTGCTACCTCAATGTGGTTACGAGCCCGTGCGTGGCTGTCAGAATCACCGCGACTGAACCTAGGCTCTGCCATTTATGGTTGTGTCACTCTGGGCAAACGTCTCAACCTCCCTCTCAGTTTTTTTTGACCACGTCTCACAGGTAGAGAAACACCGTACATCATCCTCATTTAGTGAGGATTAAATGAAACAATAAACATGAAGCACTCAGCTCAGCGTGGTGCATAGTTCTCAGAAAATAGTAACTATTATTATCAGACTTACTGGTTTGAAATGTTCCTTCCCTGCCTCCCACACTCATCACCAGTAAAGCAGCCACGGGGCAAGTCACGACAGAAAAGGCGAGAAATGCACGAGCTGTCTACAGAATTTATTTCCAAATTTTGAGAGTCGCTTTACCTGTGAGATCTTGGGGATCCCCTCCTCTCACTTTGGCAGAATTGGCTGGATGCCAAAGTGCCATGCCGTACGAATTAGACTGCAGAGCACCTCCGAACACTGTCAAAGTCACCATCTAACCAGGTGACCACCTCATTTACATGTGGTCCTCCGTGTTTAACATGGCAGCGTGACATTTAACTGGACTGTATTTTCATTTAACTACGTGTTACTCACTAGCCTACGTTTTGGACATTCTGTGGGCAGAGAGATTACTCCCCTGAAATGACATATTTAATTTCCCAGCACAGTGATTAGCTCTCTGTCTCAAGCTTTTATGCCAGTAACATAAAAGTCTTTCATGAGCTAAAAGATTCTCAAGATTAGTTTTGCCGGCCTACAGTTAAATTATTCTACTGAAGGCTATACCCTATTTAGGTGTTTAAAGAATTCATGTTACTGCATTTTTGAGTTATAAAATCATCATAGTAAGCTCAGGCAAATTATACAGTTGACCAGATATACATACTGTCTAAGCTAGCAAAAGGCGTAACACTCTTTTAGTATGATTTTCATTTGCTTTAAAATATGTATCACACTACTTTATCCATTTTAGCTCTCTAATCTTTCAAATGCAACAAAAATTTATCTCTTCTATAAAATCTTCCCAAACGAAATCAGAAATGACCCTAGCAAAACATGGGCACTTTAACAGTATTAATAATATTTGTTTCATTACATTCTAAACATCTCATTCTAAGCCAAGGAATAGATTTTATTTTGACTGACTACATGTCTAATATTGAATATCTCAAGTGAGTGTACTTTGAGGCTAAATAGCATGAAGGCTCAACTACTCTCAACAAGATAAAGAAGTTATTCAGAAAGACAAAGAAAAACAGCCCCTAAAAATAAGCTTCCTGGCCAGGCATGCTGGCTCATATCTGTCATCCCAGCCCTATGGGAGGCTGAGGCAGGAGGATTGCTTGAGGCCAGGAGCGTGAGGCCAGCCTGGGCAACATAGCCAGACACTGTCTCTAAAACAAACAAAAAAGTAAGCTTCCTATAAAATATGCTCCTGTCCTCCCAGGACACATTTTAAAGGCAATCTAATCCATGGAATATTCACTATTTGTACTTGTCACCCTCCTGAGAGACAGTCTTTCAAGATTCGGCATCCCCATCTCCTACCCCAAGCACCCATTGGTCAAGGTAGCAGTCACTCACTATTAGGCATACATGGGGCTTGTAATGTCAGTGGGAATTCTGAGGCTTGAGAAAGAGTAAATTAAAAAGAAGCTGGAAAAAGGAGAATGAGTAGGAAATCAGAGAAGAGGAAGGAGGTAGAGTAGGGAGAGAGAAGGAAGTACATATTGTTAGGAAAGGTAGAATGTTTACAGTCATCGAATTTGCTCAATTTTCCTCCCTGTGCTGCCCTGTCTCCATATGGTATCCACTTACACGTCAACGGCTCATATGTATTTATCTCCGACTTCAGACCTCCCCCAGCCGCCACTGTGCAGTACCAGGACAAGAGTACAAGTGGGGGCCCATGTACCACATGTCCAAATATTTAGAAGTTATGCATCAAGCTAAATATGCTAAGTAAAATATGTTTCATCTGGCGCAGGACCCCACAAATCACAAATACACACACACGCGACTAACACGCAGGTGCATCTGTGTCTGGGGATCCGGGGTATGGTGCTGGCACAGGGGACACGGGACTGCAAACCTCGGCTCCATCTGCTCTCAGGGCTCACTCTGTCAGGCTCTTGTACACCCTTCTCCACATCTCTGGATCCGTGTCCTTGAAACTCTGCGTGACAGTGTCCCCGAGCTGCGCTGTGCTGCGGCCCCCAAGGAGGGGAGGGAGGGTGTGAGCCACAGGAGTACCAGGGCAGGGACAAGCAAGTCAATTTGTCAAATCTTTCTCAGATACTGAGGGTGTAACAGGGTCTTACATAATGTGTTATTATGCAAGAGTATTACAGAAAGTATAGTTTCCCAGAAGTACCAAGTATCCACCTTTTCCATCCTATTTATGTTCCAGTTTGTGGTTCTGGAAGCCCTTGTAAATTAGCATGGAATTCACAAGAGTTGCACACAAAGTCTGAGGAGCCCTCTGTAATATTAAACAATTCATATTCCTCTCGATATGCATATATGT